AAACGTGTCCTCGAAGAGATCCTTCGAGGATATGTCCACTCGTTTCCGAGTTGGAGCGAATTCCTACCCATGGTGGTATTCGCCATCAATAATTCGGTGCATGCTTCCACAAAGCACACACCGTTTTACGTGAATGGCTTACGCCATCCACGTGTGCCCGCCCTTCTAGAGTGTGACTCTTGGATAAGGGGGGAGGGACTCGCTCGAGCAAAAACCGTTTTGGCTCTTGCTCGTCACGTGTCGACGCTAACTTCGTCACGTATGATGCCGATGTCGATCAAGTCGACATCGATGAAGAAGATCACCTCAATAATAGCGATGACGCTACTATTGATTCGGATGATGATGACGATGCTAGTATATTCAGCATCGTCAACGATTATTCTAGCGAGGAAGAAGACAACATCGCTGAAGAAGAGAGCAATCTCTTAGCAGTGCGCACGAAGCGCACTGAAAGACAAAACAACGAGTCAGCAGAGGACTTCCTGCGGACTCGAGAAGCGGTAGTCCGTTTCGTTCAGGACTCCATCGCAAATGCATTGGACCGTCAGAAACGGAACGCAGACAAGAATGGAAGAGCAAATATTCTTTCATTTAAGGTTAACGACCTAGTACTACTGTCTACGGTAAACTTACCTGGACATGCAGTCACTAGTGTCGGCAGTAGTAAACTACTGCTGAAGTACATTGGACCATTTCGAGTGTTGCATCGAAAGGGCAATGCATACACGATCGAATTGCCACGTAAGATGCGCACGCATCCTACGTTTTACGTGGGGAGGCTCAGGTCGTACTGTCAGTACGAGCCTTCTTCTTCCGATGAAGATAGCCCCCACGTTCAAGAACATCCATCAAGTTCTTGCGTTCGCACTCCAGACGATCCGTCTGGTCGCGCAGATATGATACATCGGAACTCAACCGAGATATCTCCCCGCGAGCTGTCGCCAGCTCGCCGAATAGGGAGCGGACATCCCGCTCGACCTGAAGCTGCGCTGTGGCATAATCGGCGCGATCCCTCGCCCGATCAGCCTCGTGACCATTGCGGTTCTTCCGCACGGTATCGATCAAAGCGTAGCGCCGGTCGCGCTCGTGCTTCAAGTCATCGCGCAATTCATCGATTGCGCGATCCATCTCGTAAGGGTCGAGATGGTGAACCGAATCGTCTGGAGGAGGTCTTTCCTCCTCCACCACATCCTTTGGTGGGAGCTCACGGTGGTCAACGCTTTCTAGTGGAGCGTATCTTGAATCACCGTGACGATTCAGGATCAAGGACGAGCTACCTCGTCCAGTGGCGGGGGTGTCCACCCTCTTGGAACATCTGGGAGCCCCGCTCTCAGCTGTTGATGGATGTTCAAGGTCTCGTCCGCCAGTATGACGAGACCCATCCGATGAGTCCTGTGGCCCATCGGTAAACACGCGCCCTAGGCGCTTGTAGACGGATTGCAAGTTTGCAATCGCGTCACGCATCTCAGCCGAGATGTGTGCCCTTCCCCAGGGCGAATCTAGGGAATACACATCCCTATGTGCACGCTGCGAGTTGTCAACACAACTCGCACAAGGGTCTCCCCATGTGAGGCAAGGAATGCCTGCCTCACTCGATAAACAATGCAATCGGTACCTTGCACCGATTGGCGTTCGCTTTTCGAACCTGAGGCGTGTCGCCCCAAGTGTCTTGAGCCACACTTCTCGTCCAAAATTCTTTACGTTTTGGACGAACGCGTTCCACGCAGCCAAAAGCGATGCTTCGTCACGCTTCTGGTTGCTGTTGTACCATCGATGTCTAAGGAAGACATCGAGATAAAAGTCTTCTTCAGCGCGAAAGTTCTTCGCGCTGGAGCTCAAGCCGTGAAGCTCAGTTGCATCGAATAAGGGTATTCGATGGTGTTGGCCTGTCTCGTGAGACAGGCTATTGATGAGCCGTTCGGGCAAACGCCACGGCTTCAGCTCATCACGCTTCACAGTGGTACCTCTGTCGGTACCACGGCTCCCAGATTGACGACGGCTCACGCCATCGTCCTCACGCTCGTGCGAAGACTCACGAGCCGGCGGTGGTAAGGAATAATATTCCTCACCGCCCTGATCATCGTCATCACTGTCAAACAGAATGTGATGCAAATCACGAGTCCGTTCGTTCGGCAGTAGCCTTGGCGAATACTGAGGCGTCGCCGGTGAGCGAGACGCCTCTGGCGCATTGCCCGAGTCAGACGTGTCTGACTCGCCAGAGTAGATGACCTCAACGTCGGGGTCATCATGCGCACGCGGTGTGGTACCGCGTGAACCTGCAGCACCTGTTGCTGCAGGCGGAGAAGGAGCAGCAGACGACGAATCGTCTGTCGCAGAAGCTGACACAGCACCGGGCTGTGTAGGTCTTGAGTCACCTCGCATAGACATGTTAACTATGCGAGGTCAAGCGGAAAGTGAATGGAACGGACCCAACAAGTGCTCCCTGTCCCAATGGTGGCCAACGGGTGGCCGCCATATTTTCGATAGTCACACGGTGACTATCAGTTAGGGGGGTGATGTAACGGGCAGCCCGTCACATGAAATTGTCACTTTAAGGAAAGTGACAATAAAGAATATGAAGTTGGATATTCTTTGAACAATATCACCAAAGTGGTGATATTGAAGAATCGACCAAAGGGTCTGATCATTGGTTGATATCGTGATGATATCAACCCACCAATCGCCGCAAGACGCGCGCAATGAGTGGTGACGAGACGTCACCATACATCCAGTTATATTAGTATAGTTGAACTAATTCAAACGAAGAGACAGTAGTTTAAAGACTTAATTATATTAATATAACAGTTCTACTTTTACCCTACCTACGCTTCCTCGCTTGCCACGTGTACGTCTGTCGGGGCACCGATACCCTTGCGTGAACTTACGCAAGGGTGTGCCCCGTTACATCGCTGACCTATTTATATCAAATGGTAGAAGGACTGTTATAATCCACGCCACGCATTATATGGACCTCACAATCTGAGTAGTGCACTAGATTATAAACGTCTTGGTCAACGCATCACACATCCCTAAAGCGGAAACACGAATTGACATATTATAGTGCGTGCGACAAGGCAGAACGGAAGGGAAATTGAGTCCACACGCTTTACAAGCACCGATGGGCTGTACGATGTGCTGAGTTACCATCGGCGACGACATTATAGCGTGCTCATTTAAATTTGCACAGCGGCCCAAAAATAAGCCTGAGGCAACAAAGTGACGTGCGCTTTTCGTCCAAGTTTGGACCTTTTTTGCCTTTTCTCTGCGGTAGGATAGCAAAGGGCGCACATCTTCATAATGTCGAATAGTAAAACTTGGTTAATTGGAAGGCTAATCTGCACTAATTAGGCTTTCAAAACCAATGAAGCAGATCTGCCGAGTACATAAAAAGCTGACCAACATGTCAAGGCCCTGGACGAATCAACGCTGCACCGTCGAGAAGCAAATTGCGTGGTATACACAAGTATAATTTTACTACAGCATCCGACCGAGGCAATTGCCAATCTGCCACGATAAGCGATCATGAGTGATTATATTCGGCATACGACTGGAAAGCAGCTTGCCTGATGATAATCCTCACTCCTCTGTCCAGACAAGTGTTTACCGAAGTCTAGTTATGCCGGATGAGCTGAAAACAAGTTTGCCACGATATATGATTTCGCAAGCGACAGTGGATATAGCAACGTTACGCCACGGATATGTACTTCAGCGATAGTATAGCAATACCTTCCGAATATCCCTTGCAGTCAAACACTCTTCGAAAAACGTATGTAGTTAGCATACAAAGTAGAAGACAGTCGTAGGCTACTCAGCCAACGTAAGCTGTCGCTGTCAATTGCCTTGCAACAATAAAAAAAGCTCACCTCAAGCAGCACCTAGCGATAGCAAAGTCGCACAGGCTCAATTCACAGCACGTCAACTTTGACACGCTAGTACATCTTACATGCATTAGCCTCAGCCGTGTTGCACCCTTGTTCACACAACGTTCGTTGTGTGTATAATAATCTGTTCGGCATAGCAGCGCCTGTGTACTCAATCTCACAGCATTTTGTACCTTCGAAGAAAGACTGAACTCGTCTTCAGCGGTGGGGTAATCACTATAGCGCTTCCATGTGGCTAGAGCGAAACGCACATGGTTTGCTACTTTAAGCGAAATACTATGGTGCCTGTAAAGTTGAACACGCGACACGCTGCTGGAATGAATGGGGTGTGGTCCGCATGTCTGCCATATTCTGCCAGTTCTACTTACATTACCTGCGGTAGCGCCTGGCAGACGAAGCAGTGGTCAACGTCACCCAGTAAATATGATGGGAAGATGACACTTTGTCACACGGCCATGCGACTACAGTAGACCCCTCTCAGCTTTCACAATTGGGCGGATGAAAATATGAGGTAGTAGAAGATATTAGGTAGGAGGGGCTGTGTAGTCACGTGATCTACCTCTCTTGCCCAACGTCAGCCAATGACTTTCATTAACTGCAAGGGGTAATTAGCTAAAAAGGGATTAGCTAAGAGGGGTACCACTGAATTTCGATTTGATTACAGGCAGACGGACCAGATCTTTCCAGTGATTGGGAGAATACGTGGTACTTGTTAATCACAAGTTCAACCTTTGGAGTAGAAACGCACGTGATCTGTGCAGAAGTGCAGTGCAGGACACAAGGTCGGGATGCTCGGTCAAAAAGGATGTAATGGGTGACTCACTACAGTTTGCTATTGGAGGAAATCGCCGCGTATCATGTCTCGAATAGCCAGATGGTGATTCCCGCAAGCTTCGATTGAAGGAAGGACGTTTACGTACATGCATACGCAAGCGTCCTTCCTCATGTGTATGACTTAAAGTTACTATTCGTATCCCCATCGCGTCGCGACGCTATTCGACTGTTCTCCTGTCGGTTCTCGCCGTAGCATCCGGAACGGATGTGAAGATCGGTTGCGGTCTGACACTGCATGTATGCCTCACTTTGCAATCTGCTGTCGGCCAACTCGGCATCAAAATGCGCGGCCTTGTTATCACTGTCATCGCTGGCACCTATTTCTTCGCACATGCCACGTCACTGGATGACACTGACCAAGCAATCACTGCTTTTAACATGAGCGCTTCACTGCATCTTGGCGAGCTCGCGCACAATCAGTTGGGACGTTTACAGCCCTACGGCTCGGCTGTGAATGTCAGTACGAACGTCTCGACGTACGCGTCCGGAGAGAGATTGTTCGACCATATAGACCAGACGAACGAAGAGCGACTGGAGCTCCCGTGGCATTCGATGCCAAGTTGGATTATTGAGTGTGGTATGAGGATTTGGCTTCGTTTTAAAACAAGTCCTAGTGTCGCTTTCGAGCGCCTCGGCCTCGCGGAAAGACGGATCAAGCCTCGGATCTTCGCCTTCTGGATGAAGTATTTTGCCTGGTATGAACGTCTGGACTCTACGTTCGACTATCCAATGGCAGCGGACATGCTGGTGCGTAGTGGCGGAAACATAGATGAGGTGGTGGCGATACTCATGTCGTTTTTCCAAGACGGTCGCATCAAAGAAAAGGCCAAACTATTGCACAACGCGTTGGCCAAACGTCTCGAAGCCGCTACGGACGACGTTATGCAGAATGCGTGGCAAAGGTCCAAATCAAGCCCTCGGGTTGTATTTCAGATTCTCGGATTGGATCGTGCAAACGCGCTTACTGAAAAGCAGGGGTCTGTAATTCAGTGGCTCAAGTACACTGAGATGTTGAGTAGATTGGATGATCCGCTCAAAATGTCAGATGAGCATGTGGCGCAGATGTTGATTGCAAAGGGAAAACCGAGTCCTCAAGGCATCCCCGAACTCATCAGCGCGGTTGACCAACTAGCTCGCCTCCGCTACCTCGTTGGACCGCTTCAAACTGCTAGCTACACTCGCACGAAGACATATGCAGACCACATTGAGGCTGCGCAGCGTATACTTGAAAGATTTCAAGAAACCGGTCAGTTGCGAGGATAATGGTCGTGACGCTGGATTTGGTTGCTTCTCGTGGTACGTGATGCGGGATAGATAGCCCGCAACGTAGTCGACTTAGATGTAAGGTTGTGGAGAATCAGTTCTTATCATTTGTAATTGCGCACCAGCAGCTTATGAAAGTAAATGCACTGACGTTACGTGAATCAAGTCATCTACAATGACGCTGCACTTGCAATTGAGACAATAGCGAAGAAGCTCCACGATGTTGCTATCTAACTCGAATGTGCCGTTCGAACGAGCCGTCCTTGTTCGGCCGACATGCAAGGTAAAGCAATCTTGTTAATCACTAGCGATGAGTTCTTCGCGGACCGCAAGTGCGTCACTCGTAGATTGCGGGTGGACATCCCGCGGGTTCCACCAGGTGGATGAAGTAAGTACCAGCAGGTCAAATCTGTTTAGAGAAGGTTTAAAACTCTCGGGGAACAACCCAAGGTCCGTATGAGGTATGGGAATCAACTGTAGTACGCTGGAGCCCTGTTGATAATGAGCAGACAGCTTGTCAGGAATAATTTGCGGACGCCACCCTCTCCAATTGCCGGAAATCACCTCTCAAAGCGAAGTAGAATACCTCCAAAATCGCGTCTGAGAGGATGTGGTCGGGGTCGGGGTGGGTGCCACTTTCTGTCGGTAACAAACAGATATGCACGTTGCATAGCACGACGAAGTCACGCAAAGTTACCCACCGCGCACAAACAAACAGCGAGCAAGCAGTGCAGGAGGCAAAGGCCTGGGCTAAACAGGGCAGTACAGGTCGTTAGAATAAAATGATAAACCGGCTGAACGTAAATAAAGAAGCGGTTGCCTCGTCATCACGACACCATAACTTCTGCCCGCCTTCACCTTAGCATCGTACCGGTCGTCGACTCGTGCATTCTTGTTATTGACATTGAACCGTAATTCGGTCCACTTGTGAGGCAGATGCGCAGGTATTCGTCAATACATGTTCGAATTGTACAGTCGGTATTTCCATGTTAGTGACCTCTGTTCTACGAAGAGCAGTCGGCCCGACACCGACAGTAGTCTTTACGTTCTCGGCTTCCACGTCCGTGCGTCGCGGCTTTTGTTTCGGTAGCGATATAAAGAATATTTTCCCAATCGTGAGGGGAGCTACTGCAAGCACTGTTAGACATGCACTCACTGCGCTAGTGGTGTGTCGCGGATCCTGTGATCAACGTACTGATCTCTTCTCTTCCTCTTTTTATAGACAAGTGTGATTCATGTTGACCCATCTTGCACTGGCCCTCGCATTGGTTTTTTGATCTGCTCCAGAATCAACGATTGTTATACAATCTAAGCGCTTGCAGCCACTTGGTATCAGCTCCCGACTAACAGTCGAGTCAGCTTCAACCAGTGTATTGTCTCCTGAATGGCATCTTTATATGTTTGCGGTACTTACACACCGCTCGCAGCAGATTTACGTCTGCGTCTCTAGTAGATGCACACTTCGTTCCTTGGACAGAGTCTTTTAGAAAGGACAAGTTTGATCTTAGGGCGCTCCGTCAAGGACTCTTCTTGCTCCTGGAGAAGTACCGTGTGTATTACAATGTATAAGTCACTTTAGCGCCCAAATGACGCCAGACCTGATGTCAGTGTCGATACATGACCGATAGATCACATGACTAGTAAAGATCCCCCTACCAAGCTTGTGTCGTCATAACGGGAGTCTAGCATGATCGATGACGTCATGACTGATGAGTAGCACGAATGGTGGACCTGAAAGATGAGGTGTTGACATGGCGGATAGATTGTGACGAAGCGACTACTACGCAGCGATAACGCACCTGCCCAGTTTTCGTAATTGTCATTCTACTTACTTCATCAGTTCATCTAGGTACTACGAGCCCATTGTTCGTCTTCACGCCAAGGCATGTTATTTGGCCATTGGGATAAACACGTAATTTTTATCAGTACCTATGTGGATATATAAGTACCGCTGGTGTAGCTAAACAATGTTTGCAACGGACCGTTTCCTTGTAGCCGCTATAGTTGGAAAGGAACCATCCCGCACTGCACAACCAACAAGTCACGCGCTGCGAGTGGTAAGTAGATATAATTGATTGGTAACATTCATCATGTTGTGAGTCAAATGTAGAGGCAACGTTAGTGATCAAATCAATGCAATTACCTTTTTTCCTCCTGAAAGGTTGTTCTATCATACTTGTGCACTTCCTGAACCTTTGCTGTGCAAGTAAGGTGTCGGATGAAGGTGTTGCACACTTCATCAATATGATTGCTGGGATGGTATTGACGTGCACCTTGAGCGCAACGATACAAGCCTTACGATGTCAACAGTGGTATGCGATATCAATGCGATCGAAACAAACCATTCGCCTTCAGATAGTTTGAATTTTGCACATCAATTGCGATCGGCACATCATTTGTTGATTGCTGGAAGTGTACTCGAGTAAGCAACCAACTGCCATGCTTATTGATGCCTTGTGTTAGATGAAGATACTGAGTCGCCAGTAGTGCCTATGTGGGTGTGCTCACCGCTAATGTTTATCGTAAAGGCTTCTCAGTTTAGTAAGCGTTGCAACGACGCCTCCGCGAACGCAAATGCAGTGTCTCTACACTCCGCTTCGAACACTGTCATTTTCAGTCGTCGATGCCTAACGTTCGAGATCACACCCGAGCAGACCGAATCTGACACTCATTTATGGTACGCAACATTTCACCTGTCATTTGGTGAATCAATCAGAGGATTTCTATTTCTGCTCCGCATATTGGGATTACCCTTACGACAAAAAAGGCGTGTCTAAAGTACGGGTTTTTACTTCAACCGCACACATACTCATGACGAGCCGAATCATAACTACTCCGCTAAAAATGCTTTTTACCGCTGTTTTTGACATGTCACTCGCCATGCACACAACGATACAGGCGTGACGCGCTCCGGTCCTGTTGTACACCATGCAAAATAGATCTTAATAATTGCCCGTTTTCCAAAATGACTGTTCTTGTTGATCTTCATACGTCTCCTCTTCACGCCGCTGACAGCAGTGCTACCTTTCATGGTGCTCCATTGTTCCTGTGAAGCTTCAAGACCGCGTTGGCTGCTTATTGGAGTACCTTTAGGGAAACACTGAAAATATTTAGTGCGCAACATGGCGCAGCCGGGTGGGCAGATCTTCTTGCGCTTGGTTTGACCCGTAGATATTGATACTTGGGGGTTCTTCCATCCCTGATAGCGATGTCAGCGCCTATCTAATACCATCATGCAGCTTCCACTCCTTACACGAGCAGTTCCAGACCCTCGAAAGAGAGTACTCTGGATGATTACCAACCATACAATCCATCACGCGGATCCGTCATTATATCCTCGGCGCTTATAACGTGTGGTTTTTGCCTACCCTCATATCACATAGTAAAGGGTCTGTCCCGTCAGAGCAATACCTATTTGTCTGTCAACGACTAGCGTAATCACTTTGCATGTAAGGTTGCAAATGTGGGAACGACGTGTTGCATTTCCTGTGACGTAGTATACCTATACAACGTCGCGGAAAGTTCTTTGCCAACGTATGCTCTATTTGTAACGGGGCACACCCTGCGTTAAGTTCACGCAAGGGTATCGGTGCCCCGACAGACGTACACGTGGCAAGCGAGGAAGCGTAGGTAAGGTAAAAGCAGAACTGTTATATTAATATAATTAAGTCTTTTAACTACTGTCTCTCTGTTTGAATTAACTTAATTACGCTAATATAACTGAGTGTATGGTGACGTCTCGTCACCACTCATTGCGCGCGTCTTGCGGCGATTGGTGGGTTGATATCATCACGATATCAACCAATGAACAGACTCTTTGGTCGACCCTTCAATATCACCACTTTGGTGATATTGTTCAAAGAATATTCAACTTCATATTCTTTATTGTAACTTTCCTTAAAGTGACAATTTCATGTAACGGGCTGCCCCGTTACATCACCCCCCTTAACTGATAGTCACCGTGTGACTATCGAAAATATGGCGGCCACCCGTTGGCCACCATTGGGACAGGGAGCACTTGTTGGGTCCGTTCCATTTACTTTCCGCTTGACCTCGCATAGCTAATATGTCTATGCTGGGTGACTCAAGACCCGCACAGCCCGGTGCTGTGCCAGCCTCTGCGGCAAACGATTCGTCGTCTGCTGCTCCTTCTCCGCCTGAAGCAACAGGTGCTGCAGGTGCACGCGGTACCACACCGCGTGCGCATGATGACCCCGACGTTGAGGTCATCTACTCTGGCGAGTCAGACACGTCTGACTCGGGCAATGCGCCAGAGGCGTCTCGCTCACCGGCGACGCCTCAGTATTCGCCAAGGCTACTGCCGAACGAACGGACTCGTGATTTGCATCACAGTCTGTTCGGCAGTGATGACGATGATCAGGGCGGTGAGGAATATTATTCCTTACCACCGCCGGCTCGTGAGTCTTCGCACGAGCGTGAGGACGATGGCGTGAGCCGTCGTCAATCTGGGAGCCGTGGTACCGACAGAGGTACCACTGTGAAGCGTGATGAGCTGAAGCCGTGGCGTTTGCCCGAACGGCTCATCAATAGCTTGTCTCACGAAACAAACCAACACCATCAAATACCCTTATTCAATGCGACTGAGCTTCACGGCTTGAGCTCCAGCGCGAAGAACTTTCGCGCTAAGGAAGACTTTTATCTCGATGTCTTTCGTAGACATCGATGGTACAACAGCAACCAGAAGCGTGACGAAGCATCGCTTTTGGCTGCGTGGAACGCGTTCGTCCAAAACGTAAAGAATTTTGGACGAGAAGTGTGGCTCAAGACACTTGGGGCGACACGCCTCAGGTTCGATAAGCGAACGCCAATCGGTGCAAGGTACCGATTGCATTGTTTATCGAGTGAGGCAGGCATTCCTTGCCTCACATGGGGAGACCCTTGTGCGAGTTGTGTTGACAACTCGCAGCGTGCACATAGGGATGTGTATTCCCTAGATTCGCCCTGGGGAAGGGCACACATCTCGGCTGAGATGCGTGACG